TCGACTATTCCTCCTAAATGCTCCTTTACGATGTGGCTAGTATTTAGGAGGAGGCTGCCCACTAAATCAAATTTGGAATTTCTGGGCCTGCCTATGGAGTGTACCCTCTGTGGGGATACCCTTGAGGACATTGATCATTTGTTTTTTGGGTGTGTAATCTCAAAGCAGGTTTGGGAGGCCATTAAGCAGTGGTTACGGATTGATGGGCACCTGAGCACTCTTGATAGAGATGTTCGTTGGATGAAGACCTTTCGAAGAGGTGATGCTGTTCTTAAGAAGGCTAGGTGGATTGGCCTGGCATGTACTGTTTTCCAGATTTGGAAACAACGTAATGCTACCCTTTTCGATCAATAACCTATTCATGTTGAGGGTATGATTTTTAAAATCAAAGTGATGGTCTATTCCATTTTGGGGAGACTCTGGCATACGTATTCCCTCATCTTTTGATGTATGTTATTGTTGTTCTTGGTGTTTATGTTGGCGTGTGTGCCTTGCTTTATGTTTGATTGTGTTGTTGCTTGTTGGACATTTGGTGATGTAGCCATTTTGTCTTTGTTCGGAATTGGCTTGTTGTCATTTCCACGCTCGGGTATGTCCGTTCTATTTGTATATTCTACTTCTTTATTACCAAAATTGTATCCCAAATACTCTCCACCCCTTACATAACCACTTAAAAAGGCATGTAAAATTCAAAAAAATAAATAAAAAATAAAAACAAAATAAAATGAGGGTGGAGTTCCCATTACATTGGAACCTAAAATTTGACTCCAAAGTCAAAATCAACTTAGGGGGTGCAATTGACAGGGGTAGGAGGGTGTGTTCGGGTCGGGGCCGGGTGAGGGGGTTTACCGTGGGATTTAGGGAGGTAGGAACCGTCAATTTTATGAACGGGGCACCGGAGCGGCTCCGGGTCATCCCATGACATTGGATTCTAATGTCATGGGAACCTTGGTGATAAAATGAATGATGTAGAGACAAGTGGTGTACATTTGGGGTACACCTTTGGTGTACCCCTAGCATCTCCCTTAAAAAAATGAAGAATTGTAGGTTGAAATGATACATATGCCATGTTTGGTAAATGGTGGTTCACCCAGCATTTGACATCTTTGACCATAAACGGCGGATTGGACTAGTCAAACCGTCAAATTAATTATTTGGATAATGGCTTTTAATATTGGCATTTAGAACCGAAAAGCCAAAAATCGAAATGTCAACCCTAGCCGCATTTCATTTAGCATTTCACCCCCTTTTCTGTTTCTTACCCTTTTTTCGGTGCTGCTTCTCTCTACGATCCTCAAGGCACCGGAATTTTTCCAGACTTTATCTCTGCAATTTCCTGACTAGTCGAGAGCTTGTCTGATTTTTTGTCACTTCTAATGCTCATGTCGTCTCAAAAGATGTTTGATACTTCAGATTGTGATGCTTGTCTTGAGTAATTTATTAAATTTTTTAATTTAAAATTGGTGTAGAGTTTTTTTTATATATTTATGATATCATATTTAAAAAATTATAAAATAAAATATATCATACATGGTTGTTATTTGTAGAATGATAAATGAGAAAAATACTAAAAAAAATCTACTTATAAAATATAAATATAAATTCTCATTTCTTAAATTAAAAAAAACGAAGTAGCCTTTTTTGTCCAACAAAAAAAAAATATGTAAAGCATTTTCTTGTATAATGTGTGTATTTTATCAAATTAAAAAAAATAAAATCATACACAAATTAACACAAATGGAGGGATGTCCTTACATGTAATTTTACTCACAAACAGCTAACTATAAACAGCTAAAGTTGCCAAACATTTAATTTTTAACAGCTAATAGAAACAGCCGGTCAAAACAGCTAACTCAATCAGCTATTCAAATCCGTCAACATTAACAGCCAATAGCCAACTGTCAACTGCCATGTTCCAACCAAGGCCATAATAGAAAAAAAATATTAGCGACAAAACTTTTTCTAAGAGTATAGTTTAAAACGACTATTTTAGGGATGTTGTGAAAAAATGAGGACTACGAATTTTACATATTTTTTATTTTAAATTAGTACTCCGTATTATGCATTATGTGTAAACACATTGAGAAAAATGGAAAAAAACAAACAAATTCAGGTTATTTAAAAAAATAGTTTTTTTTAAAAAATCAGTCTAAATAGAAATAAAACATAGAGAAAGTACCAAAACAAGAGCTCATATTTTTATTTTCTAAATAAGAGTTGGTATTGTGGTAATATGCACTTACATGTATAATTCATTATACTTTTTGATAATGTATATAGTTGTAATTGACACTGTAAATACATTTTAACTCCTATTTCGAGAAAAAAACATATGACTCCGATTTTAGTATATTATCAATGTTTATTCTTACTTTACTCGATCTTTTTCTCATGATTTTTTATATAATTTTTTTACACACTCCGTATTTAATTAGAAAAAAAATCAAGATTTAAAAAAATCATACTCGCATAAAAACTTCAGGATTAGTGAAAAAAACAATCAGACATTATTTTAATTTTTAAAAAATCTTACCAATCTCAAAAGAAGCAAATCCAATCCAAAAGTTGATTCGATCTGTAAAATGGATTTTTTTTATTCTAAAATAATATTTTGGATCAGATATACAAAAAAACCAAACCGAATATAGAATTAGATATTTTGGGGTTTGTCCAATTAATATTTTGAAAATTTTTTGTAGATACTTTAGAAACCATAGATTATATGAAACTCATGAACTATTTTAATCCTACGCAGAGTTAGCAACTACCAGCAATTAAGTAAAAATGGCCACGTTCTTCAAGAAATATTATAATTCAGCAAGATAATGCAAAGTCTCATGTGGATGGCAATGACCCTGAAGTTTTACTAGCAGGTCATGAAGGTGACTAGAATACTGAATTAAAAATTCAGCCTCCAAACAATCCAAACCTGGATATACTTGATATCGATGTTGGATTCTTTAGGTTTATTGACACACTGCAAGACCAAGTTGCTCGTATGTCCTTGCCAAACTTAGCTAGTTTCATGCATGTTGTTACAATAACATTTGAAGAATCGTCACCTCACAAACTGAATAGAGCATTCTTGACCCTTCAAGAGGCCAGGTGATGGGCGAGGTTCTTAATAACAATGGGGAGAACCAATTCAAAATCCCTCAAAATTAAAGAACGAAACTAAGATGGAGAGAGAAGGAAGACTACTATAGAATTTAGGAGTCAACACATAAGGGTATACATTGCACAAGTGTACTTAGAGGACCATATGTGAGTACCCTGAGGACCATATGTGCAAACATGACAACTTTTTGCACAAATTTTGGATGGGCAAGTGTTGTATCTTACTCAATGAGATTTTACCTTGGTACATATTGTCGAGGGGATTTTTCATGGTTTTTGTAGTATCTAACTCAGCCAGAATATATATATATATATATATATATTGTAATACAAGTGTAGTATATGTAATACTACGTAATTAGTTAATTCCAAGCTAAGTCCAACTACAACCATGAACACAACAACAACAACAACAACAAGGCAGATCGAGCGTGCAACACTAGTTAACGGCACATGACAAAACAGTCCATTGGAAATTGGAATTGAAAAAAAAGTACTCCGTAGAAGCAATACACACAAATGACAAAACAGCAATAATTCCCAATATAAGTAAGCATATGCATGCGCCTGCATCATCTGCATGCTGGGTGGATATAGATGATGATGATGTTGCATATATTAATTCCCCAGCTAGCAGCTAGCTAGCTACTTCAATTCTTCCCGAGGAAAACAGTTGTGAGAACCGAATCAGTATGCAAAGCAGCTTTTAACAACTTCATTCCCTAAACAACATATTATAACCATTTTTTTTCCAGAATGAGCAACGAGTCATATAGTCATATCATTCATTTTATGTCAATTAAATCACATGAGTGAGTGCAAGGAGAACCTCCACTCAGTATATTTAAGTGTACGGCCAACTCACCAAGACAAAAATAGACACACACGAACATACAATGTCTGTATATTTGTGTGACTATTTTTGCCTTAATGTATATTCCCTCCGTCCCAAAAAGATTTACATGTTTCAAAAAAAATTGTGTCCCACAATCCCATACTCATTTCTATTAAAAAACCATTTTTACCCCTTATTTTTTCAAACCATACCTATCACATCATACCTTTTTCCCAATAATCTACACATCACATCATACTTTTATCAATCACATCAAGGATATTTTTGGAAAGTCAATACAAAATTATATTATCCCTCCCTTAATTTTTCTATTTTAATCAAAACGTATTCGTCTTTATGGGACGGAGGGAGTACTTAATTATGTACCCGAACGGTGTTCCATAATTAATTTTCATTAAATTACTCAGTATATCGATGTTTGATGCAACTAATTAGCACTTTTTTGCATGTCTTTGATGCAACATATACTAGTCTATTTTTCCAAACAAAAAAATGTTGTTTAACTTTCATGGAGTAGTTAAATAGAGTGACTATATTTAATTTGTTCCTTAAAATAATATGGAGTAGTGTTTTTTATGAACAAAAAAATTGATGGATGGATAAAAAATAGAGAATTTAATTAATTTTCACATAGTTCTACTCGGATAGTAATTTACAAAGATATATAGAGGATGGGATAGAAGGGAGAAGGGGCGCGGCGTACCACATCAACATCCAAAGAAACAACCTTGACCTCAAGGGATCCAAAATCATTAATGTTGCTGTCATTCATTGTTGTAATGGCTGAAATGGTAGACTGTGGCATCACCTTCAAGTCATCCATCACCATATACCCCACAACCCCCCTCACAAATCCACCACCACCACCTCCTCCTTCGCCGCCGCCAGCCGAAGACGGCTGCGCCTTCACAGGAGGAGCAACATATGTAGGCTCAAGGTTCATGTTGTTGTGGCAGCTAGGACATTTTGCTGTCGGGGTCATCGGAGTAACGCGCATAACTGCGGCAATGACCACAAAGGTAAACCTTCTTGGAGTCCAGCGGCTTGGCGGCTGCCGGAGGAGCAGGCATGAGGAGGGGAACATGGACGGACGAGGGAGCAGACATTTTGGGGTTCAAGAAGGCATCCTTTGTGATGCCGGGCTGCAGGTAGGTGTCGCCGAGGTCAGCGATGCTGCCGTAGAGATTTCCGAGGGATCCGACCATGGCTTTCCGGGATATGAGTTTGATGACGGTGCCCACCGGCAAGGACATGATGTAGAACAGGAAGTCGACGAAGGGTTTTTCGGCTTCAGCAAAGACAACCTTTTGGTTCTTCTTGTTGATCAGGAGTTTCAAGCTCACTGTTGTGGTTGCTGGTGGGGTAGCCATTGTTAATTAGTGGCTGTTCTGATCTTTGCAAGACGTAAAGTAAAGGAGGATTGGATTGAACGATGCGTCGAGGATATTATATGTGTTCCGGCCACCTATATATATATATATATATATATATATATATATATATATGAGGATTTTACGTAAATAGCACTAAAACATATGACTTTCTCTAAATAGCACTACATGTATTTTTTTTCCTAATTTAGCACTTTTAGTCATTATACATTAGTCATTATTCAAGTAAATGTTTGTCATCACTGGTCATTATAGACATTATTAAGTGCTATTTAGGGAATAAAACAATTTAAGTGATATTTAGAGAAATGATGACTTAAGTTTTAATGCTATTTAATGCAAATATTTCTATATATATATATATATATATATATATATATATATAATGCCAATGGTTGGGAGGGAGTAGATATATAGACAGACTGTAGGCAGGCATGCAACCTATCGCCGCATGCATGTACATGCAAGGGGCCTGGGAATTTGGAACTCCCCTCGGTAGCTGTTGAGGCTAGTTTACACAAAGTTAAATTTGTACTAAATCGTACTAAAACATAATGATTTTCCTAATGTAGAATTTAAAATTTTTTATTCCCTAAATAGGACTTAATAATGACCTAGTGGAAGGAATAATTTCCAGTAATGCTGGACATTTAGTTGAATAATGACTAATTGATAATGACCAAAGGTCCTATATTGGGAAATAAAACATATGGTCTTATATTAGAAAAGTCATTATATTTTAGTCCTATTTAGGCAAATTTCTCTTACACAAACTAGATTAATGCCCATTGGCCATTTCGTTGTTAGTTTTTTTTTTAAACATATTTTTCCTTCTAACATTTTATCACAAATTAAGTATAACCTAAATGAATAAATATTTTAAAAATTTGGTGTATCAAAACTATCATTACTACATGACTAATTCTACATATCTCCACTAGTGTTTTCAACCCTCTCATTTTAAATTTGTTAATTTGTTCTTTAATTTATCATATGTCTTGATTCTATTCGGTCAGTTTAGTCCTTCAATTTTAAGTTATAACTTAAAAATCTGAAATAAAAAATTATACTCCCTCCGTTCCATAAAACTCTTCCCCTTTCGTTTTTTTCCAATTCCCTAAAACACTTCCACTTTCTATTAAAAACCCACTTTTACCCCTACTTTTCCATACCCTACCTATCACATCATACTTTTTTTACTAATAACCACACCATCATATCTTACTTTTATTTATAACATCATGGGCAAAATTAGAAAGTTGACCAAAATTACACTTTCCTTATTTTGGCCCAAAGTCAAAATAGGGAAGTGTTTAAAGGAACAGAGGGAGTAATTTTTAAATTGTAAATATTCAATGTAATAATATTACTATTTTTAATCTTTAATTTTTAGTTTTTTATCTTTTAAATTTATAATTCATTTTTAATATCATAACTTTTTGTGCGACCAAACAACAAAATTCAAATTGAGATTTTTCATTTTCAATTTCATGATCTCAATTTCGTGTACTAAATGGTGCCTAATTTTATGGTTTTGTATAATTAAGATATTTAAATTAAATGTCAAAAAAATCAATACTGACTGATAAAACATTGTTGCTAAAACTATAAACAATACCGATAAATAAATTTTTGTTGTTAATAATATAAACAATACTGATAGAGAAAGTTTTATTGCTAAAACAATAAGCAATACATGAGTGATGCATTCCTCTGCCGTTAGTCCGTTAGCAAGGCATGTGTGAGGCAATGGATTCCAATTTCTTTTTCATTTTTGTACAAAAGTCTTTTTCTAAAAAGTGCATTTATTTTTATGAAAAAAAGATATTTAAAATATTTTTTTAATGATTAAAAAATGTTAAAAAAAAACCGTAGTGTGGCAATGCAAAGACGTCCCACATTGACTTGTGAGGCATACATGAGGAAATCCACGAACGGTTTTCCGGCTTCCGCGAAAACCACCTTTTGGGTCTCCTTGTTGATCAGGATTTTCAAGCTCACTGTCGTCGTTGTCGCTGGATGGGGAGCAGAAGCCGAGGCCATTATTATTGTATTGATCGAGAACGCAATTCAATTTGTTGGAGTAATTTGTTTGATTTTTTCTTTGATAGCCATAGAGCCATATATATAGGAGCATTGTATCCTAAAATTTTCCTTGACTAGTATTTCTGTATTAGTTAGTTTCTTTATTAATAGGAAAATTATATTTTAGATTTCTATATTATATATTGTGTTGCCGATTTCAGATTTATACTTTAGTTTGGAAACCTTAGAGCCAGCACATGAGTCGAAGTCTAAAATTCGGACCATATAGTTGTTAGGCCCGTTCCGTTCGATTTATTTTTTCTTATATTTTCTTATTTTTATTAAAATCAGATCAGATCGAATCAGATTAGATCAATTCAGATCGAATCAGATCTAATCAGATCATGACTTATTAAAATCAAATCCTATCAAAAATTATCATCATCATCATCATCATCATCATCATTATTGTTCTTAAAAATGAAAAAGAATAAACTTTAAAAATAGGTTAAATCGAAAACTGAGAAAGTAATATTTAATTATTAGACGTTGGAAAAATATATGAATTAACTAATTTATTTTATTAAAAAATAATCATTAAATAAAAATATTGATTATATTATAATATGAATTATCATTACAAGTTTCAAACGTTTTTATAAAGTCAAATCAAATTATTGATTTGAAATTTTAAATTAAATCATAATTAATCAGATAAGATCAGACCATATCAGATCAGACCATATCAGATCAGATCTAATCAGATCAGATCAGATTCAATCAGATCAGATCCAATCAGATTAGATCAGATCCAATCAGATCCAATTAGATTAGATCAGATCAGATCCAATCAGATCAAATCAGATCCAATTAGATTAGATCAGATCAGAACTTATTAAAATCAGATCGGATCAGAAAAAATAAGTTGATCGGAATGGAGTCTTACTGTGTTGATTTAACATCTCCAATAGAGCTTCCAATTTATAGACTATATGCTAGAATGCATTTCACCTAATCTATGAATAGATGGTACTATAGTAAAAGCTAATAATTAGAAACAATAAAATACTCACCTCGTCCCAAAATATATAGATGTTGTGATTTTTAAGGATTTTAAGAAAAATGTATTTTGATGTTGAGTTTTTAAAAATATCATTAGATATGATGGGAAAAAGTAGAATTTGATTGATAGATTAATAGTAAATAAATATGATGTGATAGGTAAGTTAAAAATTATTAGAGGTAAAAATAACTTTTTAATAAAAATGTAAAAAAATTTTAAGAAAAAGAAAGAAAAAAAATTTTCAGGGACAAATGAAATAATACGAGCAACAAGATTTATATATATATATATATATATCCTATTTTTCATATGTTATATAGTTAGGCGAGCAAGGACATTTATTTACTATAGTTGTCAAGGAATATGACATTTATTTTCGAGGAATTAATTATAACTTATATGCAAGAAATTATATGGTAAAAAGAAAATGCAATCAAGTCATATAGGTTCATAAATGAGACCAAAATATAACCTCTCGATGATAAAAAGGGATTGTTCAAATCCAACAACTGCAGGATAGTTCAAAAAGGGATTGTTACGTCCAACAAGGGATACAAAAGAAGGCTGCAGGCACCATATATAAATGGTACACTACACACATGCTCGAAAGTTAAAAGGCAAAAAAATCAAAGTTCAAATAAAACACATATAATAGTACTTCAATTCCCAGCACATACATGCATGGATATGATGCACATTATTCATGCTTGCGCCGACTTCACTTGGAAAGAAAAACCGTTGTAAGAACGGAATCAGTTTGCAAAGCAGCCTTCAACAACTTTAGCCCCTGATATTACATACATATAAATTGTTGATGACAAAATCTGGACATATTAAGTTTTAGCCATTCTTTAATAAGAGCTGTGCAAACTAATAGACTAAATGAGTTTAATACTCCATAGTATTACAGATGATTTAAATTGAAAAGGAGAACATACCTAGTGATGCTCTGTAGTAAATATTTAATCATTAAAATAAAATGCTTAAAATATTGAGACCAAAATCATAAATTTAAGTTAAAGTATATGTGTTACAACATTATATTTTTTATTGGCAATAACTGCAAGGTTGAGCTCTTGGTTAAGTCGGTTCCTTGATGATATGTCAAATAATTTTGACCATCAGTACACATTGTGAATTGCTTTTCATATTAATTTTAGAAAAAGGATATTTTTGTGTTGAGTTTTAAAAAATACTACCTCCGTCCCATAAAACCTTTCTTCTTTCTTTTTTTATCCGTCCCACAAAACACTTCTCATTTCTATTAAAAAGTCACTTTTACCCCCTACTTTTTCATACCCTACCTATCACATCATACCTTTTTACTAATAATCTATCCATCAAATCATATTTTTACCTATCACATCAAAGGACATTTTTGGAAATTCAATACCAAAATACACTCTCCTTAAATCCCTCCTAAAAAGCAAAAGTCCCATGTTTTACGGGACGGAGGGAGTATCATTAATGTGATAGATCAAAGTAAGATTTGATGATAAATTATTTTTGAAAAGGTATAACTTAATAAGTTAAAAACTAAAAGGGGTAAAAATAATTTTTTAATAAAAAAAAAAGAAATAATTTTGTGAGAAAAGAAAAAAAAAGAAAGGAGAAGTTAGAAAGAGTACCTCATCAACACCCAATTGGACAAGTTTGACCTCACGGGAACCAAAATCCTTAACCCCGTTCTCATTCAGTGCGGTAATGGTAGAAATGGACGAATGGGGAACCACCTTCAGGTCATCCATCACCATGTACGTCGCCACTCCTCTCACGTACCCACCGCCTTCAGCCCTTGATGACGTCGCCGCCGCCGCCGTGTTCGGCGGCGCTACGTACCTTCCCTCGGCGTCCATGTAGTAACCGTCACCACAGCTGGGACACGTTGTATCCGGGTCATCTGTGTACCGCCCATAGCTGCGGCAATTACCGTTGTACGCTCTACTACATACTTACATAAACCTTCTTCCTCTCTGAACAAGGGCCTCTTCCGCCGCCGGCAGGCGGCATGAGGAGGGGCGGCACATCATCGGAGGATAGAACTGGCATTTTGGGGTTCAGAAAGGTGTCCTTGTTGGTCCCAGGTTGGAGGTAGGTGTCGCCGAGGTCAGCGATACTGCCGTAGAGATTTCCGAGGGACCCCACCATGGCTTTCTGGGTCACAAGTTTGATGACGGTTCCCACGGGTAAAGACATGATGTAGAACAGGAAATCGACGAACGGTTTCTCCGCTTCGGCGAAGACAACCTTTTGGGCCTTCTTGTTGATGAGGAGCTTCAAGCTCACCGTTGTTGCCGGTGGGGAAGCCTCAGATGCCATTGTTGGAGAGATGATTGGCGGTGAGGATTGAGGAAGAAAGACTTTTAAAAAAAAAAAAATCCTCGAGTTAATTTGTTTTTTTCATTTCTATTGAATTATGATTTCCACTCAAGGAAATAATTGTGTACAAGGTAGTTTATATAGATGGAGATTCCTACATCAATTAGGATTCTCCAAATATGGTAATTAACTATAATAACAATCTTTCTATAACTATAACTATTACCATAGTTATCTAACATCCCCCCTCAAGCTGAACGCCGTGAAATGAGCGGAAGCTTGGCGACCAATGCAGAGTACCGTGGTGAAGAGAGAGCTTTTGTGAGAAGGTCTGCAAGTTGCTCATGGGAAGGAACATACGAGACTGTCATTTGTTCAGCAATTACCTGTTCTCGTACAAAGTGGCAATCAGTACCAACATGCTTCATTCGCTTGTGAAAGACAGGATTCTTTGTCAGACAGATGGTGGACTGATTATCACAAAAAAGGTGAGGAGGAGGAAGCTTAATCTTTAGGATGTCAAACAAATAGGTGAGCCACATTACTTCAGATGCGGCAGCCGAGAGTGCTCGGTACTCGGCTTCGGTGGACGACCGGGACACGCGGCTTTGCTTCTCCGTACTCCAAGAGATCAGATTTGAGCCCAAGTATATCAAGTAACCAGTAACTAAGTGTCCATCAATCATATCATTAGCCCAATCTGAGTCAGAGTATGCCTGAATGACTTGTGGTCCATGCCTGAATATTAACCCATGATCAATGGTTCCTTTGACATAGCGAAGGATACGTTTTAAGGCCTGGAAATCCCGCTCAGTGGGTGCATGCATACGTTGACAAACATAATTCACAGCAAATTGAATATCTGGCCGTGTGTTGGTTAAGTATTGAAGAGATCCAACTAGACTGCGGAAGAAGGTAGGATTGTCAAACGGGGGACTCTCCCCCTCATCGATCGGCCGAACAGGCAGCGGTGTAGGGGCTGGTTTGCAGTCGTCGACGCCGGCCTTGTGAAGCAGTTCACGGGCATATTTCTCTTGAGAAAGAATCAGAGAATCCTTTGTGCGTGTCACCTCAAGTCCCAAAAAATAGTGAAGAGGGCCAAGATTCTTCATTTGAAACTCTTGTTGCATAGCATGAATAAATGAAGAGATGAGGGAGGAGGCGCTACCAGTAACAATGATGTCATCAACATAGAGTAGAACAATCAGAACACCGGAGGGAGAGTGCTTAACAAAGAAGCTTGTGTCATGTTCATTTTTCCCAAATCCATAGTCAGTAAGGAAGCCGGAGAGACGTTGATACCAAGCTCTAGGCGCTTGTTTCAAACCATACAAGGATTTCTGTAGTTTACACACATGATGAGGGTAGCGCTCATCGATATAACCTGGAGGCTGCTTCATATAGATTTCATCAGGAATAACCCCGTGAAGAAAAGCATTGGAGACATCTAACTGATGAAGAGGCCAGTTGTGATTCACAGCTAGGGA